ATTCCATTCATTATTCAATTATTTAAGCAGATAGTGAAGAAAAGAAGCTTTTTAGTATAAGTGATTCGCTTTATGTACAAAAAATTCTGGTACTACATAACATTGATTAATCACTAATTAACAACGGTCATTAATGAGAATATAAAACACAAGAAAAGAAAACTATTGCAAAATTGAAAAAATAAGATATTTTAAAAAGCATTTATCAAATGAAGATTCAAACACTACGTCATCAAATTTTTTCTTATTCACTCTAATACAATAGAACAAGAACAAAAAATTGACCGAGTTGTATTAAAAATTGCATTTACAGATGTGCGCCCTTTCGAGATCATGCCCTGTAAAAATTTTATAAAATTGTTCAAAACTATTCAACAAAAAGTATAAATCTCCTGATTACGGCGGTTATTTTTTACTGTTTTTTCCCAAACTCTTTTTTTTTTAAAATACTAAATTTTATCGAAACTTGATCCAAAACGTCTGTTTATGATTATTTAGCAGTGTCATTGATTATCTTTGCAGACCAAACAAGTGCTTTAGTTTTACAAAATTTAGCAATTTCTTCTTAGGTTTCTTGATCAGTTTTAACAAAATGGTTACACTGGACCCAAGTTACTGCAAAACAGCTAATGATAATGCTGTCACAAGCTCGTGAGTTTGCTTTTTTTTTCAAGTTTGTAAATTCTGCTGTTGAACTCTTTATACCCTACACTCCATTCAGCTTTACTTTGAATCATATCTTTGTAAATCTACTTTTTTCTGTGTCACAAACCCTGCTTAAAAATAATAAAAGTGGAATCATTTTTGAACCCAGGTTCTAAGTGTGGTTTTCAACTTTTTAATTGCAGCATTTGGAACATCTTAATTGAGCTGAGAATATTGTTTAATTTTAATTCTTGTGAAGAGAACAAGGTAATTTCCTTAAGCAACACTCGTGATTAAACAGGCATTTAAGACTAGTACATAGACATGAGCAACAAAGGTGTAAAATACGCACAACTTTTTTTCATAATTAGCTTAAATTTATTTCTAAAGGGGTAAAAACTCATATAAGATATAAATTCTAGCCATATAATAAACTTCCGTCAGGTAAAAGCGATACTGTTTAGTGGCATTGCTTGTTAGTGGAGAACCCAAAACTAAAAGATACAGTTCAATCATCTTTTTGTAGTGTTCTCTTTGCAATTACAATTTGTCATCTAATAATAAAGACTGCATAATGGAGTCAAATTCTGATATATGTTGCTCATGCTGTGGTTCAAGAATTATCAAATTGAGCAAAGTTGGCTTAATTTATGCATGACAAAAACTTTGGAAAACGTTCTAATCAAGCCATGTTTAGTCCAATTCTGTAAATTTCATTAATAATTATTTTGTGCATGTGACTATGACGGTAAGCAAATTTAAAAAAATATTTTTTTATTATCTTTTTTTTATCAAAAAAAAAAGATAATAAAAAAAATAACTGTGACAAAAATATGATAAAAAAAGTGTTATATTGATTCTATTGATTGTGTATTATTGATTATAAATCATAGTGGATGTAGAGTTAAGGTGTTTTTATAAGAATGCCTTACGTGACTTTGCAAAAATAAAGAGAGCAATTACAAAACTAGTTTACTTGTATACTTAAAAAACTATGCTACACCTTCGGAAAGATGGGTTAATGAAAATCTATTCATTTTTTCAAAAGAAAATTGAAACTTAAACCTAAAACATATTTTTTGAAAACTTGTTTAAGTTCTTTGGTTGAGTTCAAGAACGACCAAATATTATATAATATGATTTAGCCTCCCCAATGAGAAAGTCTCTCTCTTATCGGACTTTTATGGATGGAATTGAAAGTAATGATGCTAAGATGTGGACAAAACATATTAGTTAGTGGAATAAAATTAACTTCAACTAATTTGATAAATTATTATGGTGTAAGACCTATCAAAAATTATAAAACAATGTTGTATGTAGTTCTGACACGAAATTAATCGCTGAAGTCAATTTTAAAAACCATTCCTCAAAATAAGGTTTAGTTTTTGAGATGTAATTCAATTTCTTCGACTGGGTAAATTTGATCTGCCTAGTAACATGCATAGCAACATGTTTTTAATCAGAATAGTAAGCTGCTGTTTTTATTGTTATTTAATGAACTTTTTTAACAATGGGTAAATGATGTTGAGTCAAAAAAAGTACTCAAAGTACAAAATTCAGAAAATTTTAAGGAAATAAATACACTAAAACTTTGCCAATCGATTCAACTTTATCAGTTGCTCCTGTTATTAGTTATAAAAATAACCACATTTCTTGTAACACTTAACTTCATCTATATTCTAAAAAAAAAATGAGAAAATTGAGACAGCTCAGCATAATAAAAATAAAACTGTTGGTTATCGAATTGTTGATATTGAAATTTTGTCTAGTGCAATTATTCAACTATGTTGCAAAAAATGTTTACAATCTAAGTTAAAGCTTTCATAATGTTTTCCATAAAAATTAGATTTATTTAAAAACTTTGGTATATAAATTCGCCGAATGGTCACACACGAGCAGTGAACACCTGAGGAAAAGCGATGTACATTAGAATAAAAGGAGAACTATTTTTTACATTAGGAGAAAAGGAGAACTATTTTTATTTCGATGTACATTAGGAGAAAAGGAGAACTATTTTTTAAACAAAGCATATTTTGAAAGTTTTCAAGACAAAAGTAAAGAATAATAGATGAGTATTTGAAAATAAATAAAACAGACAATCCACAACATAAAAAAAGTTTTACAATACAAATAGAAGTTTTTGGATTATAAATAATTTAGTTCACAAAAACTCATTTTTTTTAATACGTCATTTTTGAAAAAACTAAGCATAACTTAAATACTTTGTTTTTCAGAACTTTAGTTCAGCTTGCAGATTACTATGTTGTTAATCATATACTAAAAAATCATATCCTATATACTTTCGGTTACTGAGATATGATAGGCGCGTTAACCTAAACATTTTTGTATGCCTGCTATTTTACTTAATAACCATAGCAACTAATAAATTTAATTTGCAATATTTAAAATCCTGTTATATAGTTGTTTTTCAGGATATGTTTGTTTTTTTGTTATGAAGATTTTTTTAAATAAAAATTTTTTTGAGGGCTTTTACACCTTAAGTAGAATGCCAAAAATCTCTCTCTCTCTCTCTCTCTCTCTCTCTCTCTATATATATATATATATATATATATATATATATATATATATATATATATATATATATATATATATATATATATATATATATATATATATATATATATATATATATATATATATATATTATATATATATATATATATATATATATATATATAATATATATATATATATATATATATATATATATATATATATATATATATATATATATATATGTATGTATATATATATATATATATATATATATATATATATATATATATATATATATATGTATATATATATATATATATATATATATATATATATACATTAGTGCTGGGCAACGATTAAATATTTTAATCGCGATTAATCGCAGAAAAAAGAAAAATTCAATAGTAAAACCACAAGTAGTATATATATAGCGTAAATTTATTTTTTCATAGTTAAATTAACATAACTTTTGGTTTGTCAAAACGTTAAACAATTTTATTCATTCTTCCAACTTTACTTACTCATCTGCACCAAGCCAGTTACTAAGACAAACAAGGTAATTCACATTTTCGGATGATAAAGAAACTCTCTTCTTTTGTACATTATGACCAGCAAGAGAAAACAATTTTTCACAAGGAACAGATGTTGCAGGTGTTGCCAAGTACTTCTGTGCAATTGAGGCCAGCCTGTTGTGTGAGCCTGCATGTTTGGACCACCACTGTAATGGACAGGCCTCTGTACTGATGGTGGGCTCTGCTTTGTAGCAACGCACACCGTTTTCAATTGAGTCTTCCTCTTGTTCAGAATCAGTCTCTGATGAAGCAACCAATAGAGCAAATTTTCTCTTTGATGGCTTTGATGTTGCTGCTTCCACAGGTTCATCTACAATAACCCTCTGTTCCTTGAGTAAGTTAGTGATTAATACCCACACCTCACCTCTCTCAACTCTGGGTATACACTTGAGGTCTTTGAATCTCCGTCCAATGCGGTTGCAATCTTTAGATATGCAATGTTGGCATTTTCCTTGCGTGTTTCCAGATCTATTCTGAACATAGATTTGAATTTGACTACATAGGCCGGGTCATCATCTGAGCTCTCCATCACCCGAGAGAGATGGCATAAAGCAGGCAGAACCACAGATCATGAAACGTACTTTTCTCCACCCAGAAGTTCAGTCACATACCTGCAAAAAATAAAACCCATTTCACTCAAATGTTTTGCATTCACTTATACACACAAAAAGTGTTCTCATGTTCATACTTACGCACAAATACAGACACATCAATTCTCTCACATGCAATCAAATCAGTAAGAAATGTATGATGTAAAATATACCTGCAGGGTTCTAGGAGCTTTTCCAACCTCTGCAATTTGTCCATTTCAGCTGGAGTTAGCATAGCAACGTTTGTGTTGTGTGTGGTGAGGACATCGCTCAGTGGCTGTTCGTTTCTGCGAACACTTTTTATCATGTCCAGAGTCGAGTTCCATCTGGTTGGAATCTCTTGTAAAAGCGACTCCTTCTTTTTTCCAAGCTCAATTTGTTTTTTTTCTAATTCTGCAGCACTTGCTGGACTGTGTTTAAAATGGCCAACCACCTTTCTGCATTTAGCCAGGGCATTGTCAAACGCGCTGTTGTGCAAAGATACTGTGACAGAACGCTGAAGACTGTGAGCGACACAAGGGACGCGTTCAAAAGGCAGATGTCTTGCAGCAGCGACAATATTTCTAGCACAATCTGTGCTAAGTGTGCTGACTTTATTTAAAATGTTCCACTGCTGTGCAACATGAATGAAATGTTCTGCGCACGTTCCAGCAAAATGTCTTTCTTGTGTTTTCATTATTGTCAAAGCATGTGAATGCAGTTTCCATTGTTCATCAATGTAATGCACAGTTACTCCGAGATAACTATGGTTACCCAGCGATGTCCAGTAGTCTCCGGTGAGGGCAACAGTTTGTGCACGTTGTAATGCCGTTGCCTTTATAGTCCTCTCGTTTTCATACAGTTCATGTATTTTTCTTACAATGTGGTTTTCTTACAATCTTGACGGAGGCTCATACGTTCAGTCATTCGTTGCGATCCGAAAACATTCTTCAAACCGACATCTTCCACAATACTAGTTGGCCTGCAATTTGTAGCTACCCACTTTGCAATGGCATTTGTTATCTTGTCATTCTTTTGTTTCTCTGTAGTTCTCCTTTGTGCTGCATCTAACGTAGTCTGCCGAAGGTTTCCTCCACTGTTTGTTTGGTTGGATGATTTGTTAGCATCAACGGTGTGCATTGCATTTAAGTGATACTTCAAACTTGAAGTACTCCGATGATAAGAAAATTCCGCTTTGCAGTGTTTACAAATAGCTTTAGTTCTATCTACTCCTTGTTGAAGAGGTTTAAAATAAAAGTGTCCGTTTAAAATTTCGGTACCTTTTTCCATTTTTAAATATTTCTCAATTTACTTACTGCTTGTTGTTTGAGCATAAGCAATAACATAAATACGCACGAAAGTTTCAATTCTTTTATGATTCGATTATTATCGAATTATAAATAATTAAATTATAATTCGATTATTACATAATTTTGAAACAATACAAAATAAATAAACAAAACTATAAATAAACATAAAAATACAAAATGCAAAATAATTTTTTTAATATATTAATACTAATATAAATTAATATAATAATAAGTATAAGCAATAATAAGCAAAAAATATAAAATGAGAAACGAAAACTTTGACAGACAGTTTCACAAAAGAAAAATAAAGTTAAGCTTGTGAATCTTAAAAAGAAACGAGCGGCAGAAACTCATATTGAACTTATTGTAAAGACTAATAGGTGGAAAAAAAAATTTTATAAAAACTTAGCAAAAAAATATATTTTTTTACAATAATAAAATCTGGAGATTAATTTTTTATTTTAAATTTAATAGTTCTGTAAACTAAAGATTGACAGGTCAGTTTTGATGAATTTTGTGCAGCCCTGTCACTTTTTAGTTTAATGAACTATTAAATTTAAATTAAAAAGTTTACTTTTCACTTTTTAGACTTTCAAAAGAAAAAGTACGTTAACGCGCGATAAAATTATTGTCGGCGTTAATTAATTAATGCGTTAACGCGATAATAACGCGTTAACTTGCCCAGCCCTAATATATATATATATATATATATATATATATATATATATATATATATATATATATTATATATATATATATATATATATATATATGTTAGGAATATATATATGTATATATATATATATATATATATATATATATATATATATATATATATATATATATATATATATATATATATATGTATATATATATATATATATATATATATATATATATATATATATATATATATATATATATATATATATATATATATATCATATATATATTCCTAACATATATATATATATATATATATATATATATATATATATATATATATATATATATATATATATATATATATATATATATATATATATATATATATATATATATATATATATATATATATATATATATATATATATATATATAAAGTTTTTATTCAATTATGTTCACAATCTTCATTAATTATTATTAAAAAAATGGTAGCCTTAATAATGTATTTAATCATCAATTATCATCTAGTGTTAGGAACTTCAACTTCTCATGAGAAAATGAAAATACCTGCACCAACTTGGAATTTGTTTTTGTAAACTTTCATCTACTTGGAGTATACCTTAAAACCTTTCTTTGTCTGTTGTTACCCCAAATAAAACATGATGTAGCTTTACTCATCTTACAGCAGCTTCGTTGACTACTTAAAGGTTTTAAAATTTCAAGAAAATCATTCATTTTGAAAAGTATTCATTTTAAAAATTATTTATTTTGAAAATTATTCATTTTGAAAATTATTCCTTTTTAAAATTATTCATTTTGAAAATTATTCATTTTGAAAAATATTCATTTTGAAAATTATTCATTTAAAAAACTATTCATTTTGAAAGTTATTCATTTTGAAAATTATTTATTTAGAAAACTATTTATTTTTGATTCATCTCAATAACTGCTGGTTTACTCGGACTCCACAGTTTCTTTGAACTTTATGGAATGTTCTTTATTGGAAAAAATTTCATCATAGGTTTTTTTCTGCACTTCTTCAATTACTTTTGCATGGGATTTGTCACTTTCTGAATAAGATGTTTTTATGTCAGTTGCCATGCTTTGCATGAAAGCATTATCTGCGTTATTGAGCTTCATGTCTTGAAAAACAGATTCCTTTTAAAAGTTCACGGTAACATCTAATGTTGACATAAATTTATTGATTAATGGATTATCCTAATGTTCTTATTGTATTTAATTGTATTTTATTAACTTTACAATTTCATCATGTGCTTCCTTGATTATTTGGGTAATGTTATTTTTTTACTTACGGGAGAGATATTTGTCTTTATTTAATGCTTGAGAATATTATCAATTGTAAGAGATAATGAATCATTAGAGGGTGAATCCTTCAAATTTGAAAGCAGACAAAGAATTACTCGTTTCTTGTTTGTAATTTATGTCCCTTGATTTTTTTATCATTGATATCTTAACATTATTTGTACATATCATTATTTGTACATATCAATTATGTCTACTTTCAATTATGGTACAATTATACTATATTATACTTATTATTATTTTGAAATACAAATAAACTTAATTAAATAACAACTCTAAACAAAAAGAAAGTTAATGTTCATATGATTTTATTACAAAAAATGTCTGTTTTTCAAAATATTAAACTTTATGTTGCTCATTCATAAATAATCAGATAGTAGAAAAAAGTTACTACCCTTTGTTTTAAGCCAAAATTCGCTTCCTACAGTTTGAACAACTGTTAACGACCAAGTTATAATTTTAAAGGGGCAATTAGAGCACCCAAATCTATATATATATATATATATATATATATATATATATATATATATATATATATATATATATATATATATATATATATATATATATATATATATATATATATATATATATATATATATATATATATATATATATATATATATATATATATATGTATATATATATATATATATATATATATATATATATATATATATATATATATATATATATATATATATATATATATATAAAATATATATATATATACACATATATATATATATAAATATATATATATATATATATATATATGATTATATATATATATATATATATATATATATATATATATATATATATATATATATATATATATATATATATATATATATATATATATATATATATATATATATATATGTATATAATATATATATATATATATATATATATATATATATATATATATATATATATATATATATATTTATATATATATATATGAATACATATATATATATATTATATATATATATATATATATATATATATATATATATATATATATATATATATATATATATATATATATATATATATATATATATATATATATATATATATATATATATATGAATACATATATATATATATATATATATATATATATATATATATATATATATATATATATATATATATATATATATATATATATATATATATATATATATATATATATCGAATATATATATATATCGAATATATATATATATATATATATTCGATTCTGGTTGCCTGCCATTTTTTCCTAAAGTAACCGGATGCTTTTCTATAGAAATTTTGATTAACGTTGATTCACGCTAGAAAATGTATTGTTAAAAATGTTGGAAGAGCGTTACAAATCTTACGTTATCCTTCCTCTCCGTTTTCAACGTTTGATTTATTTGATTACTTTGGTTCGTGTTGCCTAACATAACCTAATATAAATCTAACGTTGGATGAAAGTTGTTCCCCCACTGGGTACAGTTACTTGACATACAATTTTTTCTATTGAACATTTATTAACTAATGGGTATTTCTATTCACTTACCTTGAAATCCTGTACATCAGCTAGCATATCTTTTACAGCTTCTATAACTAGAAATTGCCATTCTTTTAAATAATTGCAGCAATTTTGATATTCTAGTGTTGATTGTATTTGCTTTAGTGTTAGTTTTTCTTTTCTATGAGACCATATGTAATGGGTAAGGTCAGCAATGGATGGATTTTTAATTCGCGCCAACGGTGTATATAAACTACCGTAAAAATCTTTGTTAAAAAACACATCAACTTCGTCAATTAGCAAAATCATGGGTCTTGTTGACTTTTTGTTTGAAAAAACATTTTCATCAAGTTTGTTATTGACTAAATCAGCAACACGACTACGAATATTACAGTTTTGATTTATAACACCTTCGCATATAGCGTTAAAGGTAGCATAATGAATATGAGTGGTCAGATCAAGGGAAGTAAACAATGGAAGAAATGATTTGTAGTCACGAGAGCTTAAGTATTCACTGTAGCAAGCACAACTGACATCAAAGCCAATAAGACTTAAAACACACGATACGACGGCCAAAATTAAAGATTTTCCTTCTCCGGTACCAACTTGCACCAAATTGTTTTGAAGCTTGTCATTGTTAACCAATTGTTTTTCGTTATAAACTACGCTTTTAAAAGTTTCACTTAAACTTTTAACTTGCTTAAGTTCTATGTAGCCGATTCCTAAAATGCGAAAAATAGATATAACCTGACTTGGGTGAGGTGTCAGCAAATAGGATTTTTGATTTTCAATGCCTTTCATTTCATTATAGTACTCTGCATTTTGCAATGTCCATAATGCAAATATGTTTGCAATAAGTTTAGTTAAATTAATTCTATCCTGTTCATC